CATATACATGCACCTTATAACAGTTCATATACATATACCATATGAAAGAACCATTGTAACATCCATGTCTCGAGCCGGTTCAGTTAACACACATGTGATACTTAACATGAACAGCAGAAGACTTAACTTACGAAAATACGAGCTAACTTTTTCTTTTTCTTTTACCTTTTTCACATGATATATAACAATGCATAACTCCTTCTAGTTTACATTCCATCTAACAAAGACGAAAATCAGACAGAGTAACGACTGAAAACTGGACAAATGGGGATTTACGAATCCCACTCTCAAGGTATTCTGATAAATAGTTTATACAATATATGATTTCAGAAATACCAGATATCCATCAAGGATCACATACCCATCCATGGGCACTTGCATAAATTGGCTCCGTGCCACTAAATCTAACAGCATGCATAACCAACATATACACATATATGAATACTACATCATCATATAAACATGCCTGAATACACAATTGTACATGCATCAAAGCGGAAAATATGTACAAGACATATACAGGCCATATACAAGTAACAGATTAGACATTATGATCCCAAAATAATAAAATACTAAAGCAACATAAAGGTCCACCAAAATATCAGTAGCCTACAGCTACTCAAAATCCGGTCTGTCGCAACACTTCTAACTACAGGTCGTGTCCTTGCCTCGTGAAGGCTCACCAGGAATCTGAACACCTAAAATGATGTCCCCAAACGGGGTGAGATAACAAATCTCAATAAGCTCCAGGTTTATAGAGAATTTTCCATACCCTGGACCCACTCCTGCATGAAAGTCAGATACACAGTATACAAGGCATCATATAACAGATATCATAACTGAACAAAACATATATACATATCTTATCAGAGGCGTACGCAGTCATTCCCAAGGGAGGACCCCAAGCAAAAATCAACGCACGTGTTCCCAAGGGAGGACCCCAAGTGGAACCAAACATATATCAGAGGTATACACAATCAGTCCCAAGGGAGGACCCCAAGCAGACATCAGTGCACATAGGATCAATGGCCAAAGATTATTACATAAATCACATCAGAACAAAACATATCATATTATCATATAGCCCTATATAAATGCATTTATACAAAGCATCAAATACAATCATACAATCCAACCATAGTCCACTAACCATGGTGGAGCACACAAGTAGGAGGAGACTCCTTAAACACAGAGCTTACCTCTTGGAGTTTTACTAATTTACTGACTTGTAGCATAAGTTACTTATCTTGCTCCAAATGATCCACAAATCTGAAATCCCTAGGCACACCTAGAGAAGGAATCCAAAACAAACTCAATAAGTGATACAATGCCATGTAATTATACAAGACACACTCACTTGATTGCTTTCATATGTACTTACAAAGCTTATGCCAATTATATGCCATGCACACAAGCCATAACAAATTTTCTTTTTTTATTTCACTAAAGCGAAGGTCCATACACCGTAGAATATTATTCCACGCATAAAAGTGTGCTTGCTTTGCAAAATAGTAACTCCTAACACATACCTCCTTTGAAAATGGCCATATACACATATAAGGACCAAAGAAGGAACTTATTCATTTTTCTTTTTATCTAACCCAACCAAAGGTTTACAACACTTATCTAATATACACAAGTTGTTTCCATCACCCATAAGGCCCAATTTGGTGTTTTCATATTTTTCCAACTTGAGTTACCTTCATTCAAACTGAAGTTGGGAATGAACTATATCGAAAAATTCCCATATTTTAGTATGTTATTTTAGACTTCCTAGGCTTTTTATCAAGGTATCATACACCTTAATCAGAGCCATATAGCTCAAGTTATGATTTTTGAAAGTTCAACTCACAAAGCTGTTTCTAGACAGTGTAGGGGATCTCAACCTCTCTCACAGTTTTTGTCATTGTGAGAGTTTCACAAGTTTGATTTGTCTCAAATTTTAATATGTTGTAGTAGATACTAAGGACTTTAATTCTAGGTATCATAAACTTAATTTGGGTAAGTAATGAGAGAGATATGAATTTTTGAAGTTGGACTTCTAGAATCACCCCTGCACTTTTTTATTTTTGGATTGTCTGTACCCAGTTTGACTTTGGGGACAAACCACAACACATAATTATCTAAAATTTTAGAAAAATATAGATTGCATCTCAAGCTTTAAAATGAGGTATCATGAGCCTCATTTGACCAAGGGATGAGGGAGATATCACACTCCAAAGTCACAGGTACATGTCCATAACTTTCAGAATTTTGGTAACTCATGTTTCAATCAACTTAACTTAGTTTACAAATAATGCAAAATAGCCTTTCATGAATTAAACACATTATTTTCCCTCTTGGACACATCATGGCCGAGGCATACCCTTGGGGAAACCAAGTCCATTTCATACTTTGGTTCCAACAAGATTATATGGTATTGGTGTTCCAACACACAAATAAAACCAAGCACACACCCAATGCTCCTTCACCTCTTATGGCCGATGGTGTTCCTAAGAAAAGCCATGAAGAATTTTTAGACTTTCACTCCAAATTATACATAGTTTAACACCTCAAATCCATTCTCAACATATAATAAGCCTATGACATCATCCTTTTCAATTTACACATTAAACCCACCAATTTCATCATTTTCTAAAAAAATATTTCAAGAACCTTAAAATGAAACTCCATGAATCAACAAAATAAAGGAGTTTCTTACCTTCAAAAGCTTCTCACACCAAGAAAAGATCTATCTTGAAGCTTTAACTCAACCAAAATCACCTTTTTTGTGACAGCCATGAACAATGTTCGAGTTCAAGGGGAGGAGATTTCTCACTCTTAAAGGCTTCCCATGGTGAAAGATTTTATGGGTTTTACTCACAACAACCTACACTACAACTTTTGTGTTGGCCATTTGTCACAAAAGTGAGTGGATAAGAAACGAATATTTGAGGGAAAAAGAGGAGGGAAGGTCATTGTTTTCCAGTAGAGAAGGAAGGAGATGAAATGATGAATAGTGTATTCTAAATTTCCTTAAAGCTTATATTAATATGTGGTTTTTTTAAATGGTATTTTTCTCGCACTTAATTTACACTACAGACATTTATATTTATCAAAATAACATTTTTTGTCCTAAAATGACTTGTTTGGCATAAATTGGATTTCTTTTTCATTTTTGGGTTCTACCGGTTGCTACACAGCAATGCAGAATACCCGACAGAAAACACTACTCATGACCTAGTTACGATTACAGTCAAAATACTCGAAATCACGTTCTTAATCTAATTATGACATTTAAATCCTTAAATTAAATCTCTAATTAAGATTTACCAGTTGGGGGTCATTATAACCACCCTCCATTGGAATTTGGTGGAACAAACAGAGGATTAACGCCAAGGACCGAAAGCTTACTTAGCAAGCAATGTCCTCCAACAGATCTCGTGTCCACAAAGTCACAATCACGATCTCTCACAAGCTACCAGCCTAGTTCCAAGATGTGAAGACAATTAATACATAACTAATCTATCACATTTAATTTTCAATACTACACATACAAGACATCTACACTTGATTTTGAGTCCAAGATGTGTTCTAAATGGCGATTTTAAAATTTTTCCTTTTACGAAAACCAATCATAAGCATGTTTAACAAAAGAACGCATCTACAAATCACCCTCCAACTACTCATACCATTAAATTTTCAAAATTGACATATAGCCAAAAACCATGATTTTGTATAGTGAGCAAAACTGTAATTCCTTTTTTTGGCTCTCATCAAGAAGCAATCTTAAGCATATTTAACAAAGAAAACTATATCCAAATCACTCTCTAACTATCTATACCATGACTTACCTCAATGTGAAAAATCCATAAATCTCCAACTCAAGCGAACGTGGATTACAATCTGTGAAAATCGCTCAAAACAATGTTGGGATCAACTCTACAACATGAATATACCACAAACAACCATCACAATCCATAAAATCTTCACATTTTAGTGCACTATTTATCACAAAACCTATAATTCTTAAAATGTCATGGAAACAAGAAAGGAGAGGTGATTCCTTACCACAATGTACCCAAGAATGAAGGGGAAATCATGGCCTCAAGCTCTATCAAAACTCATATTTTCCATGAAACCCAAAATCTTAGGGGAGAAAGAACTCTCTCTATAGTGAACCCCACACGAAAATATGGGTACCAATATGTTACTCTCGAAATTTCTCATAAATTTGGCTTTGAAACGGAGTGATTTGGAGATGTCTCTAGCTCTTTCTATGAATTTTGGAAGATTTTCACTCAAAACCTTTTTTTTCCTCCCTCCGTCAATGCTCGTGGAAGATGAAGAAGTAGGAATGTTTTGAAACTTTTCACTTACAAAGGTTAAGTGAAATTCAACTGAGTAAAGACTTATCTATCTAGTCATCTCTATTCATTACCAAATTTTATCCAATGGACTGAAATATTGTTGTAGTCATGATTCTATTTTTATTTTACCTTTGGGTAATCCTACCCGTATTTTTATCCTTTAACTGTCATTTTTAACTTATTTTTCATCAAAAGTGACTTTAATTCATTTATAGGGTCATTATATGCATATTACATTCTTTAAAAACTCTTAGATTAGGAGACATAACCACTCTTAAGACAGTGGACTTTAATTTAATATATAAGCACATACATATAACACGAAAAAAAATTAGAGAATCCATCAAAAAATTTCTCAATGTTGGGCATAATAGAATTCAAAAGTTCATATAGAACTATTGTAGGTGATATAACACCAACTCTTGCAATGTGTCATGAAAAAAGGTGCACTACTTGTAATGAAGCCTCACGAATTTTTCTCATATACAAGCAGCTTTTGAGCTCTCAATCTCTCTTTATATCCTTAGTGTTCTCCTCATAATATTGAACGAGTGTTCTCTCTTTTGGGCTATATAGAAAGCCACAAAGATTTAGGTAACATTATTGGAATGAAAGAGTCTATAATGTCATGCGTTATAATTGTTGTGGATATTACAAAGAGGAAGCACTTTCATTCCTTTGTGCTTTGTTCCTAGTATTTGAACCCCATTCAATGGCTTCAGCAACTGCTCTTTGGCGTTCCAAACCACTATCATCGTCAAGAAGATTCAAAGGGGTGCTATTGGCTTCTTCTTGCTCTGGTGGTGGAGAAGGCATGTCAATGGGTGCATTCATTCCTGAAAGGTCTTTAGACCCTGGAGTTGTACCAAGGAAACTAAGGGCCGTAACAACATCACTTATTAAGGGCCTCACTGATGGCTCCTCATTGAGACACATTGCTGCTACTGCCACTGCTTGATGCAATGATCTCATTGGAAAGTTTCCTTGAAGAAGTGGATCTGCTAATTCTTGGTATCTATGAGGGTCCTTGAATACTGGATGTGCCTGTTTTGTTTTAAAAGAATGAGAGAAAAAATATAATCTTCTTAACTGATTTAGAAAACAAAAATTATATATGTTTATGATGAAATTCATATGGCTCTAGAGTTTGTGTAATGTGCTCTTATCAAAAGGCACTCCTAAAATGTGCTATCAAAATGTGTTATTATAATAATAGTAATGCACCTGTATGGTATAATACTATTTGAAGACCAAAAAAAAAAAAAATTAAAAAAATTCCAATAAGAATGATTTAATGGATGTAACCAAAAAGACAAAAGGGTTTTCTATGGTTTTTTTAATTTTATAACAAAAAAGTAAATTAACAGTTTTGAAAGTAATGATACTAGCAAATAATTTTATATCCTACATATCTGTGTAAAAATGTATGAGATTTATGTTTATTTTTCCTCTCTTCTCCGGTGGATTTCACACACTTTTATGTGTGTAAGAGATAAATTTTTCTTATATGACATGAGAAACATTAATTAATTCTTTCATTTAAAACCCTTCACAAACTATAGAAATTGCTTATTAGATTATGTGGTCCTCCCTGAAATTTTTCCCTTTAAGATCAGTTGGAGTGAAATTTAAAATTTGTGATGGAAATTCATTATCAAAAGTAACCCTCAAACAAATTTATCAAACACTTGAAATTGGTCCATAGGCAAACAGAAATTGAGTAGGGAAACTCACCCAAGAAACAAGGTTTTGCTCCCTTGTTAGTCTTGTGTTGTCAATGGCTCTCCTTCCAGTGATCAATTCAAGCAAAACAACTCCAAAGCTGTATACATCTGATTTTACAGTGAGTTGACCAGTTCTTTGATACTCAGGGGCACAGTATCCATAAGTACCCATTACCCTTGAAGAGACATGAGACTTGTCCCCTGTAGGTCCAAGCTTGGCTAGTCCAAAATCTGAGAGTTTTGCATTGAAATCTTTGTCCAACAAAATGTTGGAGGATTTTAAGTCACGGTAGATAACTGGAGGATTGGCCTTGTCATGCAAATATTCTAGACCTTTTGCAGCATCCAAAGCTATTTTCATTCTTATGAACCAATCTAGAGGCTTTTGTTGTGGATGAAGATCTGCATTAAAGTTAAATAGTATATTGATAATAAACCAATGTATTAATTTTCTGGTTAACAATAAGGGAGAATGCAGTACACACAAATTTCTTGGGTATTATTGATCTTTAATTTGTAGTGCCATATGAAGGAAATAGAGTTTCAGTTTCACTATTCTTATTAAACTAATTATTGTGATGAGTTCTGTATCAAAAAATTTTAATGCTAAATATCAACATTTGAAATTTCAACACAAATGACACAGGCAAGGAGAATCTTACCAAGCAAATGGTCCTCAAGAGATCCCAATGGCATGTACTCATATACCAATAGTCTCTGATCTCCATCAGCACAATATCCAATTAGATTCACAAGATTTTCGTGGTGTAAAAGACTCAACATTAAAACTTCAACAAGAAACTCTCTGTTTCCTTGCAATCCATTCCTGTCAAGTTGCTTCACAGCTACTTCCTATATAGTTAAATGACCAAATGTCAATTCCAAGTCCTTCAAAATTTTACCAATATCAACAAAAGCAAAGAACTTGATAATAAGTGCAAATTAAGTGTCATTTAATCTTACTTGGTTGGTTTTTTCAAGTCTTCCTTTATAAACCCTCCCAAATCCACCTTCACCTATTAGGCATTCCTGCCTAAAGTTCTTTGTGATAGTAGCCAATTCCCTGAATGTGAACGTTTGTGCAGCAATGTTATGATTGTTCACAGTATCTTTGTTGGCTTCCTTATTTATTTTAGGTTCTATTTGTGGGTTGGCCCTTGCCTTGTGATAATGATTCTCTGTACGCAAAATCAAAATGAAACATCAAGCATCAACCTCAGGAGACAAATTTTCATCGAAGAACTCATTCAATTGCATCTCTTTATAGGGAATATATATCTCAAACATTGTACAAGGCAAGATTATATCAAAAAATATTCATGATAAAAAAAAGTGGTAGAAAGATAGCCACAAAAATTTAATTTAACTTTCAAATTTCTTAAACACAATAATTGGTGCATTGAAAGATAATTAAATTGATGGACATGACAAGGGTGCAATTATAATGAAGAATTATGGCTAAAAACCTCAACTGGAAAATATGCACATACGAAACCTTTATATATAAAAGGGGTTTATACTTCTGCACCAACAATAAAACAAAAAAATTTGTAGCTAACCCTTCGATTTCTGTGCGACTATTGTTTTTCTCTCTCTTATGGTGGGTCCCATTTTAAGTGAATATATCGCAGAAGATTTTTGTTTTGCTATTGCTGCAGAAGTATAAACCCCAATATAAAAAGGGTAAATCCATATGCATATGATTCTCTGACTTGAGAGGATAAGGGAGAGGGTCGATTGTATACAATTTTATCTTTATAATTTTGAGAAGATACCGTTTCCGACTCAAAACCGTGACCTTCCAATTACAAGGAAGAAGCTTATTGCTTGCCAAGGCTCGCCCTCGAAACCTAAATATATATAATTCATGATTTTACCTTGATGTGGCTGAGGTTGGGCTGTTTCCTTGGGAGGATGAGCAGCAGGCTGTTGTATTCTCTTGCCATTGTTGTTAGGCCTCTTTGCTACTTTCTTTTCGTTGGAAGAAAAACATGAAAAGCAACTCATTTCTCTACAATGTTGATTCAGATACTCAAACTAAAAACCTTAATATTTTCTAAGGTAAAGAAGTTTTGGGTTTAGATGTTTTAAAATCCTAGAGATTCCAAATTTTCAATCTATCAAAAGCTAACTCACCTATATCTTTCCCACCCAAAAAGCAAAACAAAAAACAAAAATGCTCACAAATTCAGAATGAATAAAGAATTTTAATAGGAAGATCTGGAGAGTTTAATTTCCTTGTCTTAAGAACCAAGAAAAAAAAGAATAAGACCTTAAAAACTATGATCTAAGAAGTCAAACTAGGGACATTTAAGAAATCCAAACAGAAATGTGAACAAAGTGTCAAGGACAACCATATTGAAGATGCAAAACACACCAACCTAAATGCGATGCAACCACCAACGGGGCCTAACAAACTATGACACATAGAAACACCATGAAAGGAGAAGTGTGTTAGGTTAGGTCAGTAATGGAACAAACATGGTTGACGACATTTTTCGGTGTTCCCGCACAAAATGGCGAGCAAAAGGGAGAGAAGTTTTGAACATGCTCCCAAACTGTGTAGAGAGAGAAAGAGAAAGACAAACTTGACACCCTATGACCAATTTCAACGTGTGGAGTAGATTTCATGATGCCGTTAAAACATGACAAATATATTCCATTCTAGAATGAAAAAAAAGACAAACATAGATACAAATTCAATCCATATATATAGGAGAAGATAAATGATGACTTTCTTCGCAAAGATAATTGATATGGTAATATGTTGAATGATTAGAACTTCAAGTGCTAAACGTTACAGGGCCTTTGGCTCGGCTCGTGAAGGCTTGAGTTTTTATGTCTAAAATTGATTGTTGGAACCGGGCTTAGACTTGTATAAAAGCTCGTTTAATAAAAAGGTCTCGGACTCCAACTTAAAAGCTCGGCCTTAGAGCCTCTCAGACTGGCCTAATATATTAATTTTTATTTTTATTTTATATTTTATATTTTTTATACTACTTGTGATAGCCCTCTCTATCTCTCTTCAATCCATTTCATCCCATTTTATTAATTAAACAAACTTTTTGAATGATTTTGTTTTATATTATACTGTTTGGATATACATTAAATTTATGAATATTTATGCAATTACTAGTGTTGTTGATTGTATATTTTGTTTGGATAAATTTTTGTTGTCTTATTTTGTTTTAAACAGGTTAAACCAGACTTTTATTTTTTGTAAATAAGACAGGCCACAGGCTGAAATTATATTCATAATAGCTAACAGGCTTGATCAGGCTAACACATTTAAATACAGGCTTAGCCTTTTAAGACCAAAGCTCGGCTCGGCTCGACCCGTTAATACCCCAATTCACAATGTAGTATATAAGGGTTGGATCAAATGCAAAATCTAACAGGGTTGATGAAAGGTCTTCAATTCAACATTTGCGTAGGTAAAAAAAACAGTCCTATATACAAAGCAAGTTTGTACCACTTTTTATAATTTTGTCTAATATGTTTGATATATTTTTTAAAAAGAAAATCATAAAATGAGTTTATCTTTAAAGTGACCAATAATTAAAAATATATCCACATTTAAATTTTAATAGATTAATATAATGATGTACTTCACATTTTTGGTATTATATTAAGTTGGGAAAAAGTATCTAATGTTACTTTAGACAACTTTATTTAATGTTCACCAAAACGATGTCATCTTGGGTTGAAAAATTAAAAAATTAGAATGATAAAGACTATTATAACCTTGAAATAAATTAAAATTACAAACACACCATGATTTACGCCCCAAAACAATGTCATTTCGATGAACATTAGACAAAGTTATCTAAAATAACTTTATATGAGATTAACATTTCTCCCGTCAGATGAGATATTTATCTCCTACAACCCTAAAACGATGTCGTTTTGGGGTTGGAAGATTAAAAATAATGGGTATTTTAGTATAATTAATACAAGAGAAAAGTAAAATTTTCAAAATAGCTTTTATTTATATCCAAAATCCAAAATGATGATGTCATTTTAGAGTTGCAGAAGATAAAGTCACTCTTGTGACAGGAGAGATACATTTTCCGAATTATATATATGAGATTTATATTTTATTTTAATTTTGATACGTTATCAATGTAATATTTTTATAATATCATTTAATCTTGTATTAATACCTCTTCTAATGAGTTTAATTATGTTAAAAAAGCATAATAAAAAAATACCTGAGACGAACCCTAGGGAGATTCGAATGGTTTAGGCTGTCAATCATGATCGCTCAACGGAGGAGACAGATAACCTCCAGATGAGTACCAAAAAGTGTATAGGGGGAGAAGAAGCTTTCAGTAACTAGCAGACCATGGTTCAAAGGGAGGAAGAATGGATGTCAGAAAACATGTCTTGCAAGGAAATGCTTATGAGGCATAATGGGGAATGAGGGAATGATTTTGATCGGTTGAATGAAGATGAAGTGGAAAATCGTGAGGAAGAACCAAAGCCTGAGAATCTGAATGTAGTGCCAGATGTGGTATGGGAGAAAGAGGGGGATGGTAGGGTAAATTTCAAGCTGTCCGATGATTTTAAAAGAAGAACTTGGAAACCCTGGCACAAAGCCATATTTGTGAAATTCCTAGGGAAGAAGGTATCGATTGCTTTTATGAAGAAGAAGTTGGAGAATATGTGGGCAAGAGAGGGCAGAATTTTTGTGACTGATTTAGAGAATGACTATTTTCTGGTTCTATTTGAGGAAAAGAAGGACATGGATTTTGCCTTCACGGCAGGGCCGTGGTTAATCTTTGATCACTACTTAGCAATCTGGTCCTGGGAACCAGACTTCCAACCTTTTCAGGCAACGATCAATAGAATTGTGGCCTGGATCTGTCTTCCAGAACTCCCTTTGGAATACGTTAACATTGAGTTAGTGAAAAGCATTGGTAATTGGTTGGGGAAGTTTGTAAAAGTTGATGCAGCTACTAGTTCTCTTGCTAGGGGCAGATTCACAAGAATGTGTGTTGAATTGGATCTTAATAAGCCTTTTCAAGTGGAATACAAAGTGGAAGGAAGAGTCAAGAGAATTGAGTATGAGGGTCTTCACTTAATCTGTTATGCATGCGGGAAATATGGTCACATACAGAAGAATTGTCCGAATAAATCTATTCAAGGGGTGGAACAAGGGACAAATAAGAAGGAAAAGCATTCAGAAAATCAAAAGAGTCAAGAAAATATTTCTAACTCTACCGAGGAAGAACATCCCAATTTTGGGCCTTGGATGCAAATGAAAAAGGGAAGGAGGAATAAAGGGAGCCAGATTACAAAAGGTGGAATTTTAAAGGGGAAGGAGGTTCAGAACACCAAAAGAGTTGAAAATAAATTTGAAGTGTTGAAAAATTAGGGGATTCAAGAGGAAGAAGGTGGTAACTTAGGAACTATGGTTGTGTATGAGCCTCCATCGCAGAGCTCCCCTCAATCCAAAGTAAAGAAGCTCACAAAGAACTCTGTAAATTTAGTGGAAACTGATTCGAGATATAATCTGGAAGGTGATGATGAGAAGGAAAGGATGGGAAACTCTAATATTGGAAGTCACAGCAGGGGAAAGGAACAAATTGAGGTAGGAAATGAGTTGTCTGGAAACAAAAATTCTCCTTTGATGTTAGCGACTAAGGAAGTTAGAGATATTAACAAGAGGCATCCTCCCAGCACATATATTTTGAGGTTAGTAAATAAATTTTCTATCACTAATCCTCCCACTAGTTTTCATAATCAAAGCATTAGCAAAAATGACTGTTTGCATAGTTCTGTCAGAGATGATTTGGATCCTAAACCACCTGATTTGATGATGGTGGATAAAAATCAGAATGAGAAGGAGGATGATATAGTGGAACTTTGTGTTGATGATGAAGGCTTTTTGCAGAAAGAGGAGGTCATGCAGGTTCCCCTAAACCCTGCAAACACACATCATAGTTTTTGATGAATTTTATCATTTAGAATACAAGAGGAGCTGCTAAGGGAGAGCTTGGTGGCACCTTTAAGTCCATGATTAGGAAATATTCTGTTGATTTAGTGGTTTTGCTGGAACCTAGAACACAAAGTGATATCTGTAGGAAATTGATGAAAAAACTGGGTTTTGATAGTTTAATAGTGCAAGAAGCCCATGGTTTTGCTGGTGGGATTTGGATAATGTAGCATAGCAAAAAGGTGGATGTGGTCGCGTTATCCCAATCATCTCAATTCATACATTGTAGAGTCAAATTAAATGTTGAACAATCATTTGAGTTTACGACTATTTATGCTAGCTCTTCACAAAGTCTTAGAGAGAATCTCTAGGATGATCTGCGTTCATTGAGAGACTCTATATCTGGTCCTTGGCATATAGGAGGAGATTTCAATGAAATTTTTTTTACACATGAAAAAAAGGGAGTGTAGCGGCTGATCCTTCTAGATGTGCTAAATTTGCAACTGTGCTTGATGAGTGTCGTGTTGCTGATTTAGGCTGCGATGGTCCTTTTTTTACTTGGCAAGGCTCGAAATGGGCTAATTTGGGGAGAGTATTTAAACGTCTTGATAGGGTGGTAGCCAACATGGACTGGAGATTAATGTTTGATGAAGCTCGTGTCTCTTCCCTTCCTCGGTTATTTTCTGATCATAACCCGCTTTTGGTTAATCTGGTAGAGGAAGCTAATCACAATGGTAAGAGACCTTTCCAGTTTTTTGCTGCTTGGCAAGAGCATCACTTGTTCAATAGTTTTCTCCATTCAAAATGGGACCATGTTTTTGATTTACCATATATGCTCCAAAGATTAGTTCCAGATATCAAAGATTGGAACATAAAAGTTTTTGGTAACATTCAGAGGAGGAAGAATAGTATCATAAGAAAGATTACTAATATTCAATGCAGTAGAGAACATCAGGATACTGCATACATAAAGAGATTCGAGGATGATTTTCAAAGGCTACTGGGGAATGTGCTTAGAGAAGAGGAGTTATTTTGGTTTTAAAAGTCTAGACAAAAATGGATTGTAGATGGTGATAGAAATACAAGATTTTACCATATTAGCACAGTGGCAAGGAGAAATGCAAATAAAGTTTTTAAGCTTAAAAATAATGGTGATACTTGGGTGACAGATCATATTGAGCTTAAAAATTTGGCTTGCAATTATTTTAAAGTTCTTTTTACTGAAGATATTCGAGCAAGAAGGTGGATAACGTCAGGGAACTTATGGCCAGATATTCTAATGAGGGACCAGGCTTTTCTTAGCAAGGTTCCAAATGGAGTGGAAATTAAACAAACAGTATTTAGTATGGGTGGTTTAAAGGCTCCAAGTACAGATCGATTTCTAGCTATTTTTTTCCAGAAAAATTGGGAGTTGATCAAATCTCAGCTTTGTTCTCTTGTCAACCAGATTTGGAATTATCCTGACGTGCTGGAATCAATAAATTCTACTCTTCTGATTTTAATTCCTAAAGTCCAATCACATGCTCACATTAGCCAATTTCGGCTGATTTCTCTTTGTCCTGTGGTGTATAAAATCATCAGCAAACTAATTGTTAATTGTCTAAAGCCAATCATGATGAAAGTAGTTTCTCCAGCTCAATCTAGTTTTGTCCCTCAGCGGCATATTCAGGATAATATTATTATTGTCCAAGAATTAGTTCACTCAATGAGGAAAATGAGGGGGAAGAGGTGTTTTATGACAGTTAAAGTTGATCTTGAAAAGGCTTATGATCGACTTAATTGGAACTTCATTCGTTTGGTTTTGAAAGAGATTCAGATCCCTGAGCAATTAATTAATCTAATCATGACAGCAGTGACTTCCCCAAGGACTAGTGTGCTTTGGAATGGTAATATATCAGAGGAATTCCAACCCAGTAGAGGTATCAGACAAGGAGATCCCTTATATCCTTATTTGTTTGTCCTAGCAATGGAGAAGCTTACTCATATTATAAATACTGCTGTTGATGGCCCTAAAATATCTCACTTATTATTTGCTGAAGATCTCATGTTATTCCTGGAAGCTAGTGAAGAGCAGATTCATATCCTTCTTCGTTGTCTTAGTCTTTTTGGTTAAATCTTTGGTCAGAAGGTTAGTGGACAAAAAACTAGTGTTTATTTTTCTAAAAATACTCCTGTTGATGTTGCAAACAGAATAACTGAGATTAGTGGGTTTAAACAAGTTTCGAATGTGGGAAGATACTTGGGTGCTATGATTCATCATGGTAGGATGACAAATAATCTTTTTGCTGATATAGTTGAAAGAGTGAAATAGATATTGAATAGTTGGCAAGCTCAATCCCTCTCTCAAGATGGTAGGGTGGTTCTTACCCAATCGGTTTTGTCTACAATACCTTTCTATCAGATGCAAAACAATTTTCTCCCTAAAACGATTTGTAGTGATCTTGAACAGCTCGAGAGGAACTTCATTTGGGGTGATTCAGATAATAAAAAACATATGCACCTTATTGGGTAGGAATCCATAACCCAACCTAAAACTTGTGGTAGATTGGGTATCAAGAAGCTTACAGTTATGAATGAAGCGTTTTTGGGTAAATTACTTTGCGATTTTTTGAATTCACCTGATCAACTACGGGTTAAAGTTTTGAAGGCTAAATATGTTCATGTAGATAATGTCTATGAGGGTTTCAATTAGATTACTGGTCAGTCGTGGCTTTGGAAGTCACTGTGCGACATTTGGCATAAACTTAACCCAAGGTTGATTTGGGATGTAGGGGATGTTCACGTGTTGATTTTTGGGAAGATAATTGGATGGGAAAAGAAGGTGTCTTGGCTAGCAAAATTATTAATCCTATTCCACAATCAGATATTGGAAAGAAGGTTATGAACTATGTTGCAACTAATGGTTCCTGGGATTGTAATAGTTCGGCTAATCTCCTTCCTCAGGATACAATTCAAGTTATAAGAAGCCAGCTTCCCCCTCAAGATTCAAATGGGGTAGATAGGCTTAGTTGGAATCTGTCTGGTTCAGGTGCAATCACAGTAAAAAACTTATACATCACCCTTTTACATCAGTCTGTCGAGGTTAGTCATGATAATAATGTTTGTTCTTTAATTTGGAATATTAAATGTCCAAATCGTATTAGTCTTTTGTTGTGGAAGATTGCCCATCACCGCTTGCCTACAAGGAAGCTGTTGGAGAAAATGAACATGACCTCTGCTTTCTGCCCTGTGTGTCAAACGGCAGAGGAGACCATAATCCATATGGCTAGAGATTGCAACCAAATCAAAAGTCTTTGGATGGAATTGATGAGATCTGATGCAGTGGATGATTTTTTTAGCACTGATTTAGACATGTGGCTATTAAATAATTTAAAAAATGATTCCCCTAATATATTTTATGTACCTTGGTCTCTTGTCTTTGCTGTGATAATCTGGAATGCTTGGTTTTGGAGAAACAGGATGGTTCATGGTACCTATGTTGTTTGGTCTGCAAACAAAGCTGAGACCATTAAGCATCAAGTCCGTGAGATTTCTCAAGCTTGGTCTTTTGGTCATAGTAGTATTTCTAGACGAGCTCAGCATTTTATTCCTGTTTGTTGGAATCCTCCGGAAGTGGGATGGATAAAAATTAATACTGATGGAGTGGCTAGAAATGATGGTGGTGGGGCTGCTTGTGGTGTTATTATAAGGGATGATTCAGGTAGGTGACTTCATGGTTTGGCTTATCATATAGGGCAGTGTTCAGCTTTTGTAGCTGAATTATAGGGTATACTAAAAAGTCTTGAAACTGCTTGGGCTGGTGGTTGGAGGAGATATATTTTAGAAAGTGATTCTAGTTCAATTATCACTTTGCTCACCAAGAGTGGAGGAGCAGCTCGAGAGTCTCGTTTGGTGGCTCATATTCAAGCATGGTTATAGAAAGATTGGGATGTGCATCTGATTCATACGTTTAGAGAAAGTAATGGATGTGCTGACTGGCTCTCTAAGTATCCCTTAGACAATTGCTTAGAGAATAATTTGTGTATCTTTTCTACCCCTCCCCCTCCTGGTATTTGACCCTTGTATTTGGCTGATTTTTCTTCGGTTTGTTTTTCTCGTAAAGTTGTTTTGACTTGACCTTTTGGGGTATTTCCCTTCTAGATTACCACCCAAAAAAAAATTATGTTAACAACTTGATTAAGAAAGCTTTTGATACATATTGAGCTACAGGACAAATAGAAGATCAGTATCACCCAAGTGATTTTAGTCATAATTTAGATAATTTTTTGTGTTGCTAGTTTGATGACTAATGCATATGACTAAAATTTTTGTGATATCCATGATAAAATAAAGCAAAATTCATTAGAATATCATTTGTTTATGTATTATTTTGTGCACAATAAAACTAAGACAATGAAAGAGTAATGATTATTGGTCCCTTTTTATATGCATTTTTTTTT